GTGCTCTTCCGATCTATTAAGTCTGAATATTTTTCCTGTAATTTGTGTACTACTTTTCCTGTAATCCATATACTACATTTCCAGTATTCCGTGTACTATTTTTCCTGTAATCCATCGATTATAGTGCGAAAATATTACACAGATGTCTGTAATATTTACGTGTAGTTACTGTAATATTTTTGTGTATTTATTGAAATATTTGTATTACACGGATTATAATACTTGGCCAGTGATTCTTTTTCGTAAGGGGAATTACTAAAGAGACCAATGAGAAGCACGCGTTGGACAGAAAGCGTGTTTCTCATTGGTCTCTTAGTTAGTAGTTTAATGTCCACTTTCCAGAGGCGCTGAAACCAGCTCAATCTCCAGTTATAGCTAAATCGCGGGCATGGCCACTCTCAGAATCCTCTCTGCCCGTAGCTTCAAGACGGAGATACCCGATACCGATTGAATAGCATCAAGTACGAACTACGAGGTGAGTGTCGCCGAGAGCATATCTCTCTCTCTCTCTCTCTCTCTCTCTCTCTCTCTCTCTTTCTCTCTCCCTCCAATTTTAATTTTGCGGAATTGCGAATTCGTTAATTACTCCTGCTCGATTCCAACGCGTGACGCGCTCAGTGAGAACGCACCCTTAGGCGACGCCAATGGTGGGAAACACGTGTGATCACCTATATATATATTGCGACCGCACTCACGAGCGTGGTGCAACTTCGTCGCTCGTCCGACAAGCTCGATTCCGCGAAAACGGGATATCTCAGTCTAACGCCGGATAAATCGTCAATCAGGTCTCACTTGCAGAGAACGGGAACGAGAATTGGGCGCCAGGCATGTTATAGAGAGTGCCTCTCTAATTATAAGTTTCGTTATTCGGAAATCTAAAGACTCAATAAGAAATATTTAATCGCGCAATCAGACGCGGATTCCGTGCGACGATCGGACAAGGACGGCGATAACCGGCCTCTCAGTCACGGTAATGGTCTTTTTCTTCTTCTTCTTCTATTAAGGGCTTTCGTTTCCACCAGAAACGATACAGCCTGTACTTAAGGTTGAGTAACAAAAAAGCTTTTGCGACAATAGATGATGCAAAAAGATGATGCAACACTAACAGAGTACTGAGCCATAGACGTCCACCTCAGTCCGTGGCTCACAACGGAATCCACGGTAATGGTAGAGGGGGTGGCTCGAAGGAAAACTTTTGAGTATACAGGGTGTCCCATAATAACCGCACCAGACTTTATGGGCAGGTAGAGCAGATGAAACTGAACAGAAAACTCCTTTATCATTTTGAAAAATTCGCAATCGTTAAAAAGATATTAATTTTTGAAGATCAGCGAATAAACGCATATCCGTCCGCCATACCACTGAATGCAGGCGCGCGGCGAGATACAACCGTCTCACTGCTCGTCAACTACCGGCTAGCAACTACCAGCGGTGGGGCGGTCGTATCTCGCCGAGCGCCTGCATTCAGCAGTAGGCGGACGACTACGCGTTTATTCGCCGATCTTCAAAAATTAATATCTCGTTAACGATTACGAATTTTGCAAAATGGTAGAGGACTTTTCTGTTCAGTTTTATCTGCTCTACCTCCCCACAAGCGCTGTACCATTGAGTATGAGACACCTTGTATATAACGTTTGTAACGTCTTTTTTAGATATAGATATAGATTGTGAGATAAAAGATGTAAATGCTAATTGTTTATATATATATATATATCTATATATTTGTATAATATCACAGATAACAGGTGGAGGACATGGCATCGGAAAAGAATTAGCGATTGGCTATGCTTCATTAGGAGCAACAGTCGTATGTTGGGATATCAATGAAGAAACCAACAACCAAACGATAGACGATATTAAAAGGATAGGAATAGATTCTGTTCACGCGTATCGGTAAATTAATATTCTTTTTTTAAGATTTGATGAAATATAAAAAGTTTTTAAATATAATTTACACATTCACAAATACTTGTAAACTGTAAACTAAAATGATCAATATTGATCAAAATTTGATCGGATTTTACAGATGTAATGTAGCAGATAAGGAAGAAGTCTTTAGAGTAGCGGAGAAAGTAAAAAAAGAAGTAGGTGACGTTACTATCTTGATCAACAATGCCGGTATAGCAATTTTTAAACCATTCTTAAATCAAAGCTTCGATGAAATTTCACGACTCACACACATCAATATGATGGCACATTACTGGGCAAGTAATATAATCTATTAACGGAGTTCTCTTTTGCTTTGAATATATAATATTGCAACATAGATTAAAATAAGGGACAAGTTTTTATAAGTGCTCTTATGCGCGTTGAGGGGAAAAAATGTTTCTTTGAAATAATTTAATTTTTCTAAGCGTATATTATCTAAATAATGTGTTAAAATTGGCAAGATATTTGAATTCGTTTCTTGAAACACATGTTAAAACTTCATAATATAGAAAATAACAATTAAATCAACTAATATAATTTTTGGGTACAAATTTAACTGATATAGATTGCCGCTTGTAATTTGAATATACAGTACGATTTGGACAAGTATAACTAAACTTTGTTAAACCGTTGTTTACAAAAAAATATTATTTTCAGACATTACAAGCATTTTTGCCAAGTATGATAGAAAAAAATCACGGTCATGTTGTGGCAATTTCATCAGTAGCAGGACTTTCTGGAGCTCCTTATGCATCGACCTACTGCGCTACAAAATTCGCAGTCAAAGGTACTTTATCTCTATTTATCTATGATATTATGTCTATTACGACATGAATAATTATACAGTGTTACACGACAAATTTCATAAATAATGTTTAATATGGGCGCACGCACACACACACACACACACGCACACGCACACGCACACGCACACGCACACGCACACACACACACACACACACAC